TTTTGCGCCGATGGTAGGAAAGGCAGCGTCATCCATGCTCTCTTGTACAGAGTGAATTTAGCGGGTTCTACCTGCCCCAGTTACATCAGTGTTCGTAGCTCGTATGAAACATCGCCCTTTCGTCGTGCCTCCACCACATTCACGGCGTACTCTCGTACAGCTTATGAAAGTGAATTCGGTATTCCAAATCAGACAGGTTGTTGCGAGCTTTGCAGAGTTCCCTGTCATAAAAGCATCCAACAATCCCCTTCGTTTCGAGGAATTGCAGAAGAGATGTCGCGAAACTATTTGTGTTCTTCTAGCGTATGTGCGCATGCCATAACAGGTCTCTCTGGGCAGCGACCTTACATTTACAATTAATTAGACGCTCTACGGAACCTCGTACGGAAGGGGAAGCCCCGTGTAGTTCAAGTAGTGTGTTCAGGAAAACAATTCAGTAACGTTCTGATACTGACGTAACGACCTGCTTCACTATCTTCTGATGACGTTAGACACAGTTTATCGGAGTCTACAATGACGCAGGCGCAAGTTCGAGAGACTGTTCTTGCTTTAACATTGTTTACGCTTTAAATTCTGTATCTGAGGACACAGCTAGCTGTAGATGATTCTGAGCAGACAGCGCTCCTTCCGGTGGTCACTGCCTTCGCTGTGTGCACGAAATGCCACACCGTACATGGGACTGCTGATAGTGATTTCAAGACCCACTCGCTTTCCTCTGCAGCTCCGTTGCATTCCGAAACACTTTCGCGTTTATATTTTCCCAACTACAAACTAATGTTGCTCTTACCAGACGAGATTCCGGCCATTCACGTCTCATCAGGTACTTTCTAGTTGCTGAGGTGCGTCTTCCTTTCAGCCATCCGGCATACTTAGCCAAATGGCGACGTTCTAGCGGCCATATGACCGGCTTACACCCAAAACCACGTCTTGCCATACCCGAGGAAATGTTACTGGGCGATAATGTGAGTTCATTTATTGAAAGAAAACATTAATGGGCCCAGGAAATTCCCTCAAACGCGTGTAAAGCTATCGGTCTGGATATAAAAAGTGCAAAAATGATCTTATCTTGTAACCACAACACATGACAAAGTTGAAATTTTCCACGCCATGAAGACGTATAGGGAAGTTGAGTTATGGCTTCAATATTTTTGAGTTCGACAATGGATAAAAGTAAGTGGTCAGCTTCACGCTCCGGCCACTTTGGATAGGAGGCTTATGGGCCTCGGAAGAGCAAAATCTCTTGCCTCTGCCGGGAGTCAAAGCCCGGTCATCGAACCCGTAGCCTAGTCGCAATACAGACTGCTAAGAGGATAATAGCAAGATCTACATTGTGTGCGATTTGCAGTCAGTAAAATATACGACAGATTACAATAATAGTCGGTTATTGGATCAGTGAGGAAGAAAACGAAATTCGTCAGATAACTTTTACCGCAGACCTCCGAATACGAAATTTCATCGAAATCTACCCAATTCAAATATATGGGCGGATCGCTTATTTCCATGCACGCATAGCAAATTAGGTCAGAAATCGGTCCTGACGTAACAGTTAACCGTAATGCTTTCGGTTCCTACTAATCCGTGTTTGACATCATGATGGCGTGTTTGTATTAGTTCGCTCGCTCAGATCGTTTATATACCAAGAATGAGACAAAACTGCACAGCATCGTGGCTTTGTCCTAATGGTGCTGAACCTTGGGTTCTCCTGATTACGGTTGAAGAACTTGTAGATTAAACTTTTACCGCTAGGTAAGGGCATCCAACGAATGGGCCTGTGCTCTGTTCTGGACACAATGGTGGTGAAACGCCTCTGCCAGGACTCGAACTGTTGGCCCTCCAGTCAATAGCAAATTAGGACCCGTCAGGGCTCGCTATTGACTTCAACAAGAAACAGTGTCACTTATGCAACATACAAAGAGCCATGTCGGCTAATTTGTACATAGCCAGCGACTTCGTGGCCAATGAGGAGAGGGCAGGGCATTTAGCAGTGCGGGTATTCCCCACCACAGTGCATGTGCAGAATGCTGTTGCCTAGCTCAGGGAATCCCCAGACAGCACAAGGGCCATTTTCCTACTTGCGTAATTTCGGTATTGTAGCTACAAATATATTTTGTTTCTTACAAAATTATGTCAAGATGTCATGTGTTCCTGGCAGTACAAGAATTGAACTGCATGAATATTAATGCAGTGATCATAAATGAAACCGTGATGTTCAGACTGTCATGGAAGTTACCGTTTCAGGCAAAACTTCACGGCACACTTTATGTAGGATTCAGTTATCCATAAACCAGAGAAGTTAGTATCACTTTCGTTAGAACACTTTATGTGGGGGGGGAACTGCAATTCTGAATTTCAGTCGTCGTGTAAAGTACATGTAGCTTGTATGAGTCTTGAGTTTGTTAACGACACTTTATCAGCTGCATAAGTGTTGTGTGAGAGTCAAGTCACAAGGCTCAAGACTTGTATTCGAAAGGTATTTGGTTCGAATACCGGCTATCATGATTCAGTGCGAATTTTGGATACTACATTGAAAGAGTCCATGACCTTCTGTATCACTTCCCATCCTATCCTGTACTATGATAACTTGCGCAGATCGAGCGACAACGCTAAACAACGAAAGGAAAGCCGAGAGCAGGGCGCTTCATGCTTCATTTCTGCACTGCAGATAACGTAAACTAGAGTTGGCCTTGCACACTAAAAATAATCCCTATGGGACTTCTCCATTTACACAGCTTTCAGTTTTGCTTTACGGGCAGCTCCACAAAGCCTTTAGGAAGCAGCGAAATGCCACCAGTTCAGACAACCTGAATTGGCGAAAAGCTGAAAATTCAGTTGATTTCAGTAAAGCTATCCCTGTAATAGACTGTGGAGGCCCGTAGGGTTGTGAGACGTCGAGGTTCCCACATTTTCTAGACAATCGGCTCACAGATGGCGGTAAGGTTGTAAGCCTTAAGCACCGGCCGCCCTTTACCCCCCAGGAAGATTCCTGATAGTCATTTCTGTTAGAGGCTGAGTCGATCCCAGGGCCATATTTTTTTTTTTTTGTTTCCAGTGCAGATTGAAAACTGTGTGTGTACTTCGATACTAATCTAGTCGAAAGGGAATGTAAAATTGTATCACCGATCCTCGTTTACGAAAGCCCCTCATTCTCTGTAGATGAGAAAGGAAGTGCGAATTGATGTGGCTCAGATGTCTGTGTGTACATCGAGAGTTTAGAAAACGTACGAGACTAAAAGAACTGCCACACGCATCGCAACAGTAGAGGGCACCAAGCCGTACAGACTTACAATCAGCATGGCCGAATTCGAATCCGGGCCGTCCCAGCCTGCTTCGTTTCATGACCGCGTCTCAATGCACAACTTACCCTCACGGGAGAGTCGACCGGCATTGCTCCTAAACTACCAAATATTGTTAAGTCAGATTTTATATAAAGGAATTCCAAACTCTGTGTTATATTTCGCCTGTTGGAAATCTTCAATTATCTTTATGAAATGAAAATTGAAATCAGGTCGAAAATGGTCCTACGTCGTGAATACCCTAAACTGAGATTCCTTGTAAGCGTCTGGACTGGAAACTCAACTTGGGAAAATTGTTAAAATCTCCATTATTTTAATTTATCTAGAATTTCAATGACACTAAAATCGTCATTATATGCACCACGTACTGTCAAATATAAACGTACGCATTACGGAAAATCATGGTTACATATTTCGGTATCCCATAGTCCACTCTGGCTTTCACAAATAGTCACGAAGCTGGCACAATTTTTAAAATACACTAGTAAAATTATATGACAGATAAGGTAAACCATTTACATAATTCTTGGGAGGTGAAGTAAGCGTATACATTTGTTGTATAAAGGCAACAATTGTACCAGTAATTACGCTGTAGCGTAGTTGGTTGAGGCACTATGCTACAAGCCGGAAGGTCGCGGGATTGAATCCCGATGAGACGGATTTTTTCAATTTACATTATACTTCCAGCCCCACTATGACCCTGGGTTCGACTCAGCCTCTAACAGAAATGAGTACCAGGGGTACTCTTGGGGGTAAAGGGCGGCCGGCGCGTAAGGCTGATAACCTTACCGCCATCTGTGAGCCGATTGTCTAGAAAATGTGGGAACCTCAACATCTCACAACCCCATGGGCCTCCGCGGTCTGTTAGAGGGATAGCTTTACTTTTTTACTTTACTAATGTTCTTTGACAGGGAAATACATCTCCGGCGTGCATAATGTGCCTGTGATTTCGATATGCTATTCGGAACGAAACTTCTTTTCAAAGAGGGTTAAGTCACTGGTCAAAATAACGGAAATTAAATGTTAATGGTCGAAGCAAAGTCGTAACAGAAACAGACCCAGAAATCAGTCTGGTGCGCTTGTGCATTCCAAATTTTGTACCAAATACATTCTTTCTCGTTGGGTCCTTATTATTTTTTCTTTATTCCGCTCCACTTGTAATATGTTTTTACCTTTATGCAAAGGCATAAAAATAGTATTATGTTTTGTAGCTGCACTTTGTCGTGGTATAAATATGTGTGAAACCTTCGGAGTCTCGTTTGAAATAAACATTGTTATTATTCATAGGATTGCTCTGTAATTTATTTATACTACACTGTTTAAAATCTGTATTTTCAGAAACATCCCTATTCATTCAGAGCATAAAGACTTGATTTTATGAGAAATTCAGTTCCTTTTTCCTGTTCCTTCAAAGGCTAAAGCACTCCAATTTATCAAGTCAAAGTCAAAATCATGTTGCGACTGACGGTCAATCAGTCTGCCTGTCTTGGTGTCGAGCCCCGGCTGGGGCTCATGACCAGATGTTACTTTTTAAGTCAAAGTTACTGTCCTGTCCATGTGGGGCTGCAATTTATATGAAATTCAATATGTTTTTATGCTACCGCATACCACAAATGCACTGCAAATGAAGGAACGCTAGCTGATCGTCGATTGTTAAACCTTTTTTTTTTACGCTGCCTTTTACCGACATTGTGCCTGCGCGAATGATAGTAAGGACCTATGTATTGAATTCACATTAAAAACGTAATGGACGTGTGCCTTTGTCACATACCTTATACGTTAATATAGAAAATCCGTACATATACTAAGTTAAATTTATAACTTTATATGTAAGGAGAAGGCAAAAAATGGAACGTATTTGTGCGTAGGCGGATTGATCTGCAACCGGAGAGAACCAAGGAAATAGACGTAGGAAAGGATGTGAGTACAAGTGGTTTGCGATTGAAGTGGACATTTATTTGAAATAGTATGTGAAAAATTGATTAGTTGTTATTTTAAAATGTCGTTTTACCGTAATTAATCTTCGTAAAGTACTTATTGAGCTTTTAATGTGGTAGATAATATTGTTGAAGCAATATAATAAGAGGTTTAATGCCTGTAGGTGAACAACCAAGGACTGCTCTGATTCATGAAGGCCTAACCTTGTTTGGACAGTGATAATAGTGTCTTAAAAAGTAGGACCGTATTATTGAAAGGTCTGAACATGGAGGCAACTGCGAAACATGACTTCAATGCTACAGCTGATGATGAGCTTAGTTTTAGGAAGAATCAGGTGCTAAAGGTTTGTGAAAAAATATTTTTAGTGCTTTTCATATGTAGGTTATGTTAAAAATACATTTCTGCCTTATTCCTTCATATATACTGTGACGTAATGAAATTAGCTTACAGCTTAGAAGAGATGTTATTGTGTGACCAAAGTAGATTAATTTTCACTTACTCCTGCATCTTTGTTTCTGACAGATCTTAAACATGGAAGATGATATGAATTGGTATAGAGCTGAGTTAGATGGTAGAGAAGGTTTGATACCTAGTAACTACATAGAAATGAAGAGTCATGAGTAAGTACTGCATAATAAACATTTATGTATTTTGTACAGGAGAAGTAAGTTTATGTTCAGAAGCGAAGGTTTAAATTATGAGTGCCGGAAGTCGTTTAGCAGAAGAAGTAAAATATTTTTAAGAGAGGAAGGCTCAGCTTTCTGCCTGCTTCCTGCTGGTGTGTGTGGCTTTATTACTCAGACCCTGAAGATGGAGGTGACATGTTCCCCTAAGATGTTGAATTTCAGTAGACCGCTTAGATGGAGTTATGTCCCAGAACCATAGCACTCTCTTGATGCTACTCTGTTTGTTTCAGTTGGTATTATGGTAGAATTACAAGAGCGGATGCTGAGAAGCTGCTGTTGAACAAGCATGATGGAGCGTTCCTAATACGAGTTAGCGAGAGTTCACCTGGAGACTTTTCTCTTTCTGTAAAGTAAGTGGCTGTTGCACAGCTCGAGACAATTCAGTGACTGTGTATGTAGGCTTCTTTAGCATGCATTGCTATGAAGGATTCTGCTTCCAAACTTATTGACAAGTTTGTGTTTTGTCTAAACCTAACAAACGATGGAAATCATCTCTTTGTTTAGTATTTTAATCTATGATTGTTGTATTACCTTCTAATCAGATGGTACCATTGGAGAGGTACAGCTGAGTACAAGAAGTATTATAATTTAGTGAGTCACCTTACAGGCCTTTATTACAGCTCAGGTATTCTCTAAAACCCTTTCACATCCTCAAAGCCTCCCCCTACAACCTACAATTTTATTTGTGTGAAAAATTACATTTTAGTGTGACAAAATTAAACTCAAATTTCTAGTATAGATGTGAGGATATGTCGAGAGCAAAGATGTCACACTCAGCCCAGGATCAAAGGACCTTGTTTGTAGTCTTTAAGTATGATTGTACTGTAATTTTTTAAACATTAAAAATGGAACCATATTACTGGGTAATTAATTGTTGCCATGTGTATTAACCCCAGGGGCACGTGGTAGCGTAGTTGGTTGAGGCACTATGCTACAAGCCAGAAGGTCGCGGGTTCAAGTCCCGATGAGGTCACTGGATATTTTTCAATTGTCCTAATTCTCCCAGCTGCACTATGGCCCTGGGGTCGACTCAGCAGAAGTGAGTACCAGGAATATTCTTGAAATATTCTTGGGGGTAAAGGGCAGTCGGCGCGTAGGGCTGACAACCTTGCTGCCATCTGTGAGCTGATTGTCTAGAAAATGTGGGAACCTGAACATCTCACAACCCTATGGGCCTCTTTACTTGTGTATTAACACCCATGTCAAGTGGGTCACCATGGCATGGCGCATCCTCAGGTTGTGGATGGAGGAGACGGCCTCCATATGGAGGGTAGCTGCAAATATATTGAGTAAGCAGTGGTGGACAGCCAACAAAGGGTGCTCCTTGAGCTTGGGGGTTGGGCATCAGGCTAACAACTCCTCAGTGTAAAACATAAACTTGTTATGAAAGATCACGAGAAGCCTCAGACCTGAACAGATTCTTTGGATGAATGATGCAGGGCAAAATCATGACATAAAGATAGCTAACAGATGTTTTGAAAATGTGGCACAGTTCAGATATTTTGAAATGACTATAACAAATGGAAACCAGATTCAGGAGGAAGTTAAGAGGAGATTGAATTCAGATAATTCTTGCTACCATTCAGTTCAGAAACTTTTGTCTTCTCATCTGCTGTCTAGAAACATAAAAATCAGAATATTCAAAACTATAATTTTCCTTGTGGTTCTGTATGGGTATGGAACTTAGCCTTTGATATTAGGGGAGGAACAGACAGGGCGTTTGAGAACGGTGTTGAGAATATTTGGGCCGAAGAGGGATGAAGTGACAGGAGGTTGGAGAAATCTGCATAATGAGGAGCTTCATAACTTGTACATGTCTCAAAGTATAATTAGAATGATCAAGTCAGTGATGATAAGATGGGCAGGGCAAGTAGCACGAATGGGGCCGAAGAGGAATGCATATATGATATTCGTGGGAAAGCCAGAAGGAAAGAGACCACTAAGAAGACCAAGACATAGGTGGGTGTACAATATTAAAATGGATCTTAGAGTGGTAGGACTGGATTATATGGATTGGATTGATCTGGCAAAGGACAGAGACCAGTGGAGGGCTCTTGTGATGATAACAATGAACGTTTGGATTCTGTAAAATGCTGGAAGATTCTTGAGCAGCTCCACAGTTAGCGGCTTCTCAAGGAGGGCTCAGCTCCTTGAGTGAGTGAATGTTTATTAACATTTATTTTAGTCTGTGCTGTAACTTGCTTTTAACATTCAAACCAAGCAGCAAAGTGAACTCAAATTCTAAATTCTGCTGAGCAAATGTCATGTGTCCATTCTGCTGTTCCTACCCATTTTTGTGCCTTTTATATATTATCTGTGTGTGTGTTTGCAGGTTAGAAGTACACAGTCACTAGAATTTTGTGAGCCTGAATTCATCATATGTGTGGTTTCTTTGTCTTGCATTGCATAGCTCAGTTGAGTCTTTTCTCCTTTCCAGATGCTCGGACGGTGTGCAACATTTTAAAGTGCTCCGTGATGCACAAGGAAAATTCTTCCTTTGGGTTGTTAAATTTAACAGTTTGAATGAATTAGTGGAGTATCATCGGACAGCCTCAGTTTCCAGGTCGCAGGATGTGAAACTGAGAGATATGGTCCCTGAAGAGGTGAGACTCGGCAGTAGGATATGTGTTCAGGTGACAAGGTTCTGAATGCAGATGAGTGGCCTTGTCGTGTGTCCACAAGTGGACAATTCAATTGAGAACAGCCAAAACACTACATGTCAACAAGTCTTAAAAGTGTACAAAACAATATACAAGATAGTCGCTTTTTGCTCACTATTCCCTTGCTGTCCCTTACCAGCCATAGATGACAACTCCCAGCATTTCAGTATAAAGCAGTACATATACTTAAACCACAAAAACACACTGAGGGACATGAAAGTCAACAGCAGTAGCAGTGGTTAAAACAAGAGTCATGGAAGCAGAGGTTGAGATGAAAGTTGGTCACACTTCAGCCAATATTTAGACAAATTGGATTCTGATGACTGATGGTCACAATTTGCTGACATGACTGCAAGATCATACAGTTAATTTTGTGTGTGCTCAACTCTTGAACTGTTTTGTACACTTTATACTAACATAAGGAAACATGACTGGTTTTTCATGTGCATTGGAACCCCTGTTTAATGTTCCTTGATTTAAGGTTTCCCCCCCTTTTCTGTTCTTCACAGCGTCTAGACCAGCTCTCAGGCCCTCCCGGCCTCCTATCTAGTGGGTACTGGGGACTTTTTCACCAGTGGTACAGCAGCCAGGTTGTGGAGCTGACCGCTTACCTCCATTTAGTGCTAAAGTCATCAATGATGGAGCTAAACCTCCACTTCGCAACATGTCTTTGTGACTTGATGCTTAATTAACTAAGCACATGGGCAACTTTACACGCCATTTGACGTTCAGTTTAAATTCCCTCAAGTCAGTCAGTGTCAGTTTTGAATTTCCTACGTCAAGGTTTTTCCATGGCTGGTCCCCAGAGAAACCGTAAAGTGGTTTCACTGTACTGAGATTTCTTCTGCATTTTAGTGAGTGTGTGTCAGCCTTGAAGACTGACAGGAGCTGTGACATGTATAACTTTTTCCTTTCACTGTGATTCATCTGCAGTGAATGTCATTGTAATTTTATGTATAGTTATGAATTTGAGAGGATGGGCAATGGGCTACCAGGCTGGATGGCCATGGTTCAACTCCTAGCAGAGGCCATCTTTTACTGTTCTCTGTAGCATCCAGACCAGGTGTGGGGCTGACCCAGCCTCCTGTCCACTGGGTACTTGGGACTTTTCTGTGGGGGCAAAGCGACTGAGGTGTGAAACTGACCACTCACCTCAATCTGATGCTGAGGTCAAGAGTGGTGGCACACCTCTGCTCCCCCCATACATTTTCAGTGTGTGGTGCTAAACACAGGGGCAACTTTACTTACCCTTCACCTCTACGAATTCAAGAAACATTGTTGGATCATCTGTTGACACCATCTTCTGGGAGAGAGATGGTACGAGAGTGGCTTTTTAGTTAGGCTGCTGCATTGTAAGCGCGTCTAAATGTGCTATTGCTTTGAACTTTTCAGTGCCTAGTGCAGGCCCTGTATGACTTCACGCCGCAGGAGCCTGGGGAGCTGGAGTTCCGACGAGGTGATGTTATAACAGTAAAGGAACGCATGGATCAGAATTGGTGGCATGGAGAAATTGGTGCCCGTACAGGATTATTCCCAGCCACTTATGTTGCTCCATACCATGCTTAGTAAGGGACACTACATCACTCATAACTGTAAGTGGAACGTGTTGGAATTGGTCGACGAGTCTGACCAATGTTGTGAGATGGCATTATCATGCTGGGATTTAGCATTCTTTAGATCCTCGTAAAAATTAATTCCACAAGAATAATAAGATTTTCAGAACTACATCCCTCACAACAAAGCAAGACTTTGATACTTTAATACATGCTGCATAAATGTAGTTTTACCTGTATGGTTACAAAATTAAAGGGATTAATTACATTTTGGGAAGGAAGACCTTACATGTGTTAAGTGGCCATATGGTTAGTTGCTGACCATGAATCGTACTGTTGTGATATCTAGGTATTCTCCATTGATTCTCACCCGGCTTGGTATGATTGTGGGATCAAGATTTGTTTTTGCATTTAACAGAAACCTATAGAAAGTGTGAAGGAGGGAGGGAGTGTAAACTTGCATATTGCCATTATTATGGCGTACACAGTATGTAGATGAATTTTTTGGAAGTTCTGACTCAGTATTATCACAGCATGCATACAGGAGAGGTGTTCATGTCGTGACTCTTGACCAGAGTTTGACGAACTGAACACTCTTGGCTGAGTTTGCCATTAAGTTGATAAAAATGATTGACTCAGCAGTTGCTTTATGTATCTTTTGATCGTGTCTCTTTCAAAGCATATTTGCATTTGCAGTAAAACAAACACCAAGACCGATGAAGGTGCAAAATTGCAAAGGTTGCATTTGAAAGCTGTATATATATATATCTTTGTGCTCTGACTGTGCAGAAAGACAGAGTTATGCATGAGTTATGCAGGTGGATTATTTTGAGCATAGTTTGTAAGATTGTGATGTGCCACTTATATAGTCTTGCACTTAGCTAATTGCTATTAGAGCTGACAGTTTATTATTAGATTCTTGTGTAATATTTCCTTTTGGTGAAATGAACTAACTGTAGCTTATGAACGATGTATATACATTATTATTATTATTAGCACTTCTAAAATCCTTCCGTGATATGCAGTGAACCGTAAGAGTTTGACGCCCGTGTTTGGGCCAGTACAGAGGGCTGTCCAGGTAATCTTCAGGTTTGTGTAGTTAAAAGAATGGCTTTGCTTAGCATGGTAATTGGTGAAGACTTCATTCATGTTACCAGTTTTGAAGAAATTGTCACTTAACCCTTAAAGACTGAATTTCTTCTAAGTAACATAGAAATTCAGTTGGCACCTCGGAGGAAACATATTAGTGTCCACTACAAAGTTCAGCCGGTTCATGGTTCTAGGATAACAATCACTGTTTATTGTGAAAACCATACAGAACATGTAGATGATCTCTGTTGACAGACTGGAGAACTTTAGTATATTAAGGTGGTACACATAAGAACAACTGGGCATTAAATGGTTAATATAGACACATGTTTGTGCACAATATCAGGTCATTGCAAGCACTGTACTCATGTAACCACATTAAAATACTATAATTTATATACACAGTGCTTGAGCACGATGAAAACTGCATGCAACCAGATCACGGATGAACATGATATGCCTCTGTGTGGTAAGTTGCCACCGTAAAAATTCTAAGTGGAGCAGAAAGTATATCTTGGTTTTCCACTTCAAGATGCTTATTTTTTTGGAAAAGAAAAGGTTTATAATGTGTCGTCTTGTTTTTTAAGTATACTTTTTATGGACGAAGGGTCTGACTTTGCTGTATCATGGTTATTGGATGAGCTGTTTAATAACAAAGTCTTTGCTCTTTCCAGTTATGCAAAATCATATTTTGATAGTTAGCTTGTTTTATTTTAACTATGATGATACGTGTAAACTAATGAGATGTATAATTTTGATTGTATTAATTTTAATTCTCTGTGTATATTTTCTTTTGCCATGCACCTTTCAATAATTGTAGAACAATATGAAAAGGGTTCCTGTAAGATTTTGTAATAACATTCTTTATTTACTGTATTAGTTTGTTTCCTGTTTTGAATTGTGTGGGGCAGATCACAGTAACAATTCACATGCCGTGCAGTAGGCATAATATAGAACATGTTGATGGAAAGAAGGTGCAAGATTCCAGACTTTTTTGGTGTGAACGACCTGTGTTCCAGAAGGTTTATTTGAATGAATATTTATTGTCTCTGTGCTTTAATTTGTTGGTGCTTTTGTGATGTTCGTTGAGAGGCCTTGCTAGTACTGTAAAGCCAAGTTGTAGGTACTATCACAGGCCAGCTGGCTGATGTGTCTCACACGAGCAAGGCACAAAGTAATAGGGATAATCAGTTGGAAATAACTATTTGTTTAACTGAAGCTTGTTTCAGTCAGAATGTAGATTTGATAGAGACTACAGTTTCTTAATGGTTACAGCTGCATGTATAATTTGAACTAATATCTGTAGTTTGGGAAAATATGCTGTGCAGTATTTGGAAGTGAATATTTGCTTCAGACTGTATGTTGTTCACTTACAAAATGATGTTACTGTTCTCATGTCTGCAGTGTTGAGTTCTGTGTTTGAATTTGCTGTACCCTGTCTTCAGAGCTGCAAGGCATGAACCGTTTGAGGCTGTTGGCAGCATGTACTTTGATGGTTGCCTTAGGTGGGTTCAAGAAGAAAGCATTTACTGCTGGTTTTAGTCAAAAAATTCAAGCAGAAAGGGCTCACAAACTGACAGAAAGATATTCAGTTATGGAAAATGCCAGTAGTATGATAAAAATTATTATTTTGATTGCAGTAATATAGGAAGAGCTGCATTTTTTGGTGCATAAGATGAACTCATAATGGTCACTCTGTATCTACACAGCTACATGTTTTACCTCCAAAATTATGTTAGCATTACTGTAAATATCAGCCTAATTTTAGTTTGTTTCAGTTCAGTTTACTTGAAGCTGAAGGCAGGCTTGTAGGATTGTTCTAAAAAATGCTTATCATACAGCAGATTGCTGTATGGGGGATGTTCTTAATGAAGTGTATATGGAGTGAAATGCAAAGTAGAAATTGCTTATAAGCCTACACGTTGCAACAGCAGATGATGTCTACAGTAAACGAACTGTAACACCAATGTAACATGTTCATACTCCAAGTACATTTCTTTGTAATGTTGTTTGTTACACTGGGACTGAAGAAAAACATGCAGACCTTACTCCTTACTCAACTTGTACTTGTACTTACTTGTTTGTTTGGGAATACTGTTAATAGCGATAACAAAAACTGTGTGTTTGGAAGTCATGCTTGTTTGCACACATTGAGTAAGAACTGGCTAACATTCATAGCAGATCCTACAGCTTCAGTGGCATTGGTGCAGAAGTCCAGTAATGGACGTGATCCTGAGCTGCTTCTTTTCACATCACATGCTTACAGTTTACCTTCTTGGTTTGGAGCCAGAATGTGGTTTTATCAGCAGGTGTCAGTAACTGGCACATTTTGCAGGCGTATAATCTATGAGATTGCCAGTTTGAATCAGTAACTTCATTTATTACAACAAAACAGGCTCTGTATTCATATATCCACACTGACTAATAACACGAGGCAGTCAGACTTTAAACAGAAAATAATGAAAGGACCTGTTTTCTTAATATTTGCAATTTCCATAAATTGATGAGTCATATTGAACGATCTGCTGTCACAGATAAGATACCTTTGCTTTGGTTTACTTAAACACAGTTTGTGCTTTTACTGCAAATTAGTAAGTAACTTATGATTCAGCAGCTGTCCTGATAAGTTCCTCAGTCCCTTTCAGCAAAAACCATATATTCCGTGACTCGCCCCATCCTGTTGCTTGCTGATGATGGCCTTGTGAAGCCGCTGCACAGCGTCATGTGTGTCTCAGTTTGGTCCTGTCTGTCAGCATCACAGCAGTATTGTACTGGATATGAGGAAAAGAAGAAGAAACCCCATCATGGTTTGTTCTGTTTATGGCCTTTGGGCTGAGACTTTTTTAGTCTCCTGCATTCTGGAGGAACACACTTCATTCATCTTTGAGAATGGAGTAATAAGGCTGGGTCATGTGAACAGAGGAGGGTGGTTTGGATATGGAGGAGAGGACTCCAGACAACCTAGGGGAAGGCGGTTTATTGATCCCCAGTGTATGTATGTCTTATTTCACAGTTTTTAAGATGAGTGTATTAATGAAACAATTGCTTGGAAATTGCCAATTGAATGAGATGTCGATGTATTCAAACTGTGCATGTCAGTAAATTGCTATTGTGGTGATAACATGGTATTTGATAAGTGACTTCACTCATAATGTTGATGAGTCCATGGCTTTGCAATAAAGAATTTGGAAGCATATATAAATACATGTAAAGAAACTATTTAGAGCTTGAGGTAATTCTGGGTATATCCAATGACTGAGTGATGATGTGTAATGTGAAAAAAGTGTTCTTCATATGCAGAATAATGATTTAATATCTCTATTTTTTGCATCCTGTTGTGTATCGTGTATTGAAGGCATAACTGGGAGCCATCAACACAGCAGTTGATTATAAACTGATATTAAAATGTTTTAATATTTGGTTATTTTTATTTACATCCCACTACATGTTTCAGTCTGCAGGGATCATCATCATCATCATCATCAGGTGGTCTACAAATATATATGTCACTTAATTATCTATTAGACAACCTGGTGATGCTCTGCAGATCAAAACGTATAGTGGGATGTAAATAAAAATAACTGAATATTAAACATTTTAATATTGGTTTATGATCAACTGTTGTTGTGTTGATGGCTCCGAGTTATCCCTTTAATACATAATTTAATATGCAGTGATCACATTCGCTCTCAATTAAATCCATAGTTTTTTGTTCCAAGAACATTTTTTGGGGGGTTATGGAATTTATATATTTCAATTACACCATTACATTTGGGGTTCTCACAGTGGTAACTATGAATATATGTCCTCTGTGATGTGACACAATGTATTTTGGTATATAAGTACCAGCATTTTGTAAGAACCTATTATCTCTGTCTACAGGACAGAAGATGGAAGCAGCAAGTCCTCTGAAGTGTAGGTACTTGTCTACCAAACCACACGGTGTCACATGTGCACATTAAAAGAGTTCTCAAAACTTCCTTGTGCCTACTGTAACATGCCAGTCATATACTATATTTTTGTTGTTGTTTGACTGGGCTTTGGTCTCACTCTCTGAAAAAGTTTATAGAGACATCTGAACTGCAGAGTGAACTTCTGCTGGCTATGGACATTCAGTATTTAAAATTAGTTAGATTTCAGGTCATGAACTGCAATAGTAATTAAAGTTGTCATCGCTGTTGCTCCGCAAGTGCACAAAACTGAACTGTTCATTCTGTGTGTCTGCTTACTAATTAATTTTTCTGGTAGTTTCAGACTTCGCAATAATGTTAATACCTCAGAGGTAACTCAATTTCTATTAACTTTACATGGAATAAAGTCCAGTTTGTGACATGTGTCATCTTTATTTTCGTGCTGATTGCAGAATGTTTCGTCCATCTCGCTGTGTTTACGAGTCCCTGGCTTGTTCACACTCCCCAGAGCACGCTGTGCAAGTAATATGAAGTTACAGTTATGTAACTGTATAGTATGTGAGGAACGTTTTAATTTTAACTTTGTGCAAAATGTAGTGCCTTCTTACAAGATTCACCACACTGATGAATATAGGCATAGTTGTTGATGATTCTTGATGCACATTGGAACGTGCAAGATCTCCTTAATGCCCTGTACTGGCCTCGGAATCCAATGCCACTTTTCTTCACCAATTCTACAAAATCTTCCCATCCTTCACTTCATATAGCAGTTTCTTGATCTACAGTATTATCCCTGAAGTTTCCCATGAGTGTCAGTATTTCTTGCTTTCTCAAACTGTGTAGGGACAGAAAATGGTTTAAATTTCTTATTCCTACTACTTCTGTGTCTTTTTGTATTTTGCACCCAATATACAGGACTTCAGTGATGTAAGTAATGTTTCTGTAATTTGTGCTCTGGATATTATTTACAAAGATGTCTAAATTGTTCTACCCAGATTTGTAAATATTTGCCCTTTACTTTCCACCAGTTGCTAATGTCACGTTCTGTTGTAGCAGCAGGTAAATGTTGGAAGTGCGTTTTAAAATAATTGTCATCTGAATGTTGAATTCATGATTTGTGGCTGAAATGCTTTTTTAAAAAATAGCATCTTGCATTTGTGGGTGGGGCCAAAGAAGATAAATTTCATGCTGATTAATTTCATAAGCCCCTGAAAATATTCTTTTGAGAAAAATTGCAGTAAAATTAACAGGTCTGTACTCATCATGTTTCAGAACTGTTGGGCTTGAATTGTTTCCAGGGCAAATCTCCATAAATGCATCTTTACAGGATTATATCAATAAAGAAAAAAAAACCATAAGTGTTCACAACCTGAAAATGGCATTGCAACTCGTGTCATTTTGAAAGCAAGGAAGCAGAGGGAAGAAAAGAGATTGTGACTTTTTATCCAGTGTTCCATAAAAGACAAAATTATGCTAAAAGAATAGAAAATTACCAAATTTTGAATAAATTCCATATCTGTTGAAGTTATTGGGTTGTAAGCAATCCAGCATTATTGTGCTGTCAGGAATTTAAGTTGCTCTCTTCATGGTACACAGAAATTCATGAATTTGCCATCTAAGTTGGCATTCGTTTTTCCTGCACTAACCTACCATAGCTCTGTGAAATATGGTTTCCTGCACACTATGAAGAAAGTACATGATCTTAGAGAATGTGTCTTCAATTAATACATAATAATTACATAATAAATATAGTCTGAGAAGTACAGAATAATTCCGCTAGGTACTTAGAAAATTCAGTAACCTATGACTATATTTCTAGAACCATACTAGTTCATCTCACCAATTTTAAAACGGTTCTAGCATCAATGAGTAACATCTATAAATCCAGAGATTCCCCAGTTCCGACAGTCCATAGACAGAACACAGCAACTTAAGATGAGAATGGTGAGAGGCTTGTGCTTTGTGAGAGTTCACCCATGAAATTCTTAGCTATGTCCCGTAATAAATGTAACATGACATACTTACTTACTTACTTACTTACGGAGCTGAGCCCCTCTTGAGGAGAAGCCATATGTGCAGCTACTCAAGAATTTCCTAGCATTTTATGGATCCCGAAGGTTCATTACCATGTTCACAAGAGCCCTGCACTGGTCCCTATCCTGAGCCAGATCAATACAATCCATACCATCCCATCTCTCTAAGATCCATTTTAAAATTTTCCACCTACCTATGCCTTGGTCTTCCCAGTGGTCTCTCTCCTTATGGCTTTTCCGCCAATATCCTATATGCATTCATTTTGTCCCCCATTCGTGCTACATGCCCTGCCTACCTCATCCTCCTTGAATTGATGATTCTAATTATACGTGGAGAAGAGTACAAGCTATGAAGCTCCTCATTATGCAGTTTTCTCGAACCTGCTGTCACTTCATCCCTCTTTGGTCAAAATATTCTCAGCACCCTGTTCTCAAACACCTTCAGTCTATGTTCCTCCCATAATGTCAGAGACAAAGTTTCACACCTGTACAGAACCACAGGCAAAATTATAGTTTTGTATATTCTAATTTTTATGTTTTTGGACAGCAGACAAGAAGACAAAAGGTTCTGGACTGAATGGTAGCAAGCATTACCTGAGTTCAATCTCCTGTTAATTTCCTTCTGAATCAGGTTTTGATTTGTTATCGTCATTCCCAGATATCTGAACTGTGCCACATTTTCAAAACAGACGTTACCTATCTTTATGTCATGATTTTGCCCTGCATTTTGGTGACGAGACAGCAACATATACTTAGTTTTCTCTGTGTTTAATTCTAGACCAACCTCCTTACTTGCATCAGTTAAAGTTTATATGTTTTTCTTTATGGTATCTATATTATCACTCAGTAGATTCACATTATCGGCATAGACCAACAGCTGATGTGTCACGTTTAATTTCAGTCCCACCTGGTTTCCCTGGACCTTCCTAATGGCATATTATAAAGCAAAGTTGAACAGGAGTGGCGAGAAAGCATCTCCTTGTCTTAGACCATTCTGGATAGGAAATTGATCAGATAAATGTTTGCCTATAGAGACTTTAGTATAAGTTTTGTTTAAATACATTTTAATCAGCTAAACTTCTTTCATGGGTATCCCAAAATCTGTCAAGAGTATTGTACAGTGCTTCCCTCCTAACTGAATCAAAGGCTTTCTTGAAGTCTACAGATAGCTGATGTACTCCCATTTTTTCTCAAATATCTGACGAATGCAAAAGATTTGATCAGTAGTCGATCTGTTATGTCGAAACTCACATTGATGATCCCCAATTTAACATGACATTAGGTTACAAATTTCTATATACAAAACTGGAAAATCAAACTGAATCAAAATATTTGCCCCTAGTATATTATTTTACAGGTTTGTGTTTTTAATTAATTAGATGGCTAGAATAGACAGGCTGGGTGTCCATGGTTCGATTCCCAGCAGGGTAAGAGATTTTTCTCTACAGCATCAGACTTGCTCTGGGGCCAACCCAGCCTCCTATCCATTGGGTACTGGGGAGTAAAGTGGCTGGGGCGTGAAGATGACCACTCCAATCTAGTGCTGAGGTCAGAAATGGTGGAGCTATATGTACACTCCATGACAACTTTAGTGGCAGGTAAAGGTAAAGTTGTCCCTGTGCTCAACAAATTATATGCCATGAAGGTGTGTGGAGGTCCTCGGCACTAGCTAGGGGTGAGTGGTCACCTTCAGGCCCCTCCTGCTTTACCCCCAGGAAAGAGCACACAGTACCCACTAGATAGGAGGTTGGGTTGACCCCAGAGCCGATCTGGACGATTTGGAGAAAATTCTTGACCCTTCTGGGACTCTAACTCCAACCCCTCTGTAGCCAGTTGCTATACAGACTGCTACCCTGGCTCATCTTCAGTGGTGTGGAGCTTAATTAAAAAGCACAGGGACAAATTTTATATAATTACATTTGACCATTTTAACAATTAAGTGTTGCTGATACATGGATATTATTAAAGTCAAATGAATAATAATGTGTTGGTACTTGGAAGTGAGGTCATACTCTCCAACAATATTTAGTGAGAGATGCATTTACGTCTGTGATATGGTTTGCGGATGATATATCCAAATGTAAGTTGCAAAAGTAGCAGTCTGTTCAGTTGTGCATGCAGGCTAAGTTCTGCAACATGCAAACAGAAATTAGTACTCCTTTTTGACCTCACGCTATGCACAATTGACATTAGGTATATGAAGCGCTGGAATTGTGAAACAGACTTAGATGTAGCACACATGGTCAAACTGGTTCATGAACCATTGGTGCTGTTCATGGAAATAAATGTCTTATTAGGAAACGGATTCAATATAAAAACTGTGTGTTGAAACCACCACACCTAACGTTCATTTTGGCACTGGCTTTGTATAGCGGTAGAGCTCTAGGCGCTCTAGGCTCGTGTTCTAGAGTGCTAGGTTCGAATCTCGGATGGGACGTTGGATTTGCTGACTGCTGTCTTTGTGGTTTTCCTCAGTTTCTCAAGGAAATTCCAGGCTCCTGGCTTCCTTTAAATTCATCTATGTGGTACATCATATTCTAGCGACTGCCAGCGTCGTAAAATATTCCGCAAAAAGTAATAAAACTGAAATCGTGATACTGGAGTGATAGGTTCGAATCACGGCCGGGGCACCAGGTATGCTGATTGGTTTTAGCGGCTTTCCTCAGTCCCTCCAGGAAGTGCCAAGATAGTACCTCTCCTGCCTTAATTGAAATTCATCTACATGGTACAATATGATATTTCGACTGCCAAAGTCGTAAAATATTCCCCCCAAAAAGTAACTCGTTTGAAACAAGTGGTAAACTAAAACTGTAACTTCCGGTTTCAGATTAAGAATTTGACAAAGGATTTCATAAAAAGCTGCAAATTTATATATGAAATGTCAGATTATTCGTTTCTCTTATAATTATTTCTTTGTTAGTACCTTATATTCGTATATATATAGAAAATTTATTATTACGTTAATTGAGTAAACAAGTACACTTCCTCTCGGTATTTGGATGGCTCCCAGTGGCATTGGAAAACGTATGTGTTTTATATTTATAACGTTGTAAGAAACAGGAATAATTATAAATAGTAAAACAATAGTAGTTGTGTTTATCGTTTGTCATAATAATACGGTAATTATGTTGAGTTTGTCAACTAAATACCAATATAAACATAGAAGAATGTATAACTACCACGTGGCTGATCGACGTTCTGTTCATTCAGCACGGCAAATATAACCTAGACGTACTAATGCTTTTGTTTCTTTGTGCGTATAGGTTTAATCGTGACTCAGTAGAAACGTTAAGATGTCGGGAGGTCAGGAAGTTTTGAGTTTGAAGGAAGATGATGTTACAAAGATGCTTACAGCTTGTACGCACATAGGGAGCGACAATGTTGATTATCAGATGGAACAGTACGTGTACAAGCGGCGCCCCGATGGTAAGAATATGTTAATTACTGAACACCCGTATACGAATATATAGAAACTACAATCATATGGTAGTAAGATAATATTAATTTTATAGAATGTGTCGTGTTTGTGTCAAAGTTTTATGGTTGGTAGTAATGGCGGTCAAAACGAAGTGTAGAATAAAGCGTAAGGTTGTAATATAGTTTGTGATTTAGTACTAACAGGTATCTTGGGTCTGAGCAGAGTTGCATGTAAATTGTACGTTATGTTTAATAGCTGTGTTTGCATATCATTCAGTTTATGAAAAGATGTTATAATTGCTTTCATAGGAAGCGTATTTCACACTGGGTTTGAAAACTTAAATATTAATGCGTTGGGCTGGTAGGTCGTGTTGAGGAAGGGGAAAATAGTAGGAGCATAAAGCCCATTGTTTTAGTTCTCGTACACAAATTAGCCCAATTTGTCAGACAAATATGAAAGTGTAAATTAAAAGTGAAGTGGTGAAAACAGTGTATCTTTCTAAAAGAGCACATGCCACCATAGTAGCCGCCAGTCAAGTATGAGGTATGATGCCGTTACAGCATTCATTAATATTATGGCCTTGTGTGATGTGACACTGTAGTTTGGTAAATAACATGCATTTTGGAGGAACATGGTACCTTCATCTTCAATGTAGTTTCAAGAGGAAGGCATCAGTACTGAATAAGTACTGACAACAAGTCATTGTTGTATGCCGATGATACAAATATATTAGTGTCTGGTGTTAATATCAATGAAATTCAAGAAAGGTCTAAACTTAAATTCCTGAAGTCAGTGGTTTAAATACAATGGCTTATCCCCAAACTTGAGGAAAACTAAAGTGTTAAAATTTGAAACAATCAGTCGTGACAATATGCCTGTGCATTTAAAGTTTAACGACGAATTATTACAAGAGGAAATTCATATTAAATTTTTGGGCATTGAAATTGATAAGCTCTTGAAATGGAAGACACAGGTTCAATCACTGTTACCCAGATTGGGAAAGGCATGTTATGCAATACGAATTATGAAAACATATAGTAATGTTACGACACCTTGATATATCATACATACTTTCATTCACTCAAGAGATATGGAATAGTTTTTTGGTGTAATTCGTCAGAGGCCAAGATTTTTCTCTTACAAAAGAAGAGTATTAGAATAATAATGGGGATGAAACATAGAGACTCATGTAGGCCAGCATTTATAAAGTTAAATATATTAACATTGGTCTCTCAATATATTTTATCTTTGATGACTTTTATGATAAATAGCTTGGAATATTTTACTTCTAATTATTCAATTTATGAGAGACCGACAAGACACGAAAGAAATTTACATGTCCTACAATCACATCTCGCAATGAGGCAGAAAGTGGTCCATTGCATGAGTATAAAAATATTTAACAGTCTGCCTGGTTATTTAATTGATATGGTACATGATAAAAAACAGTTTATAAAAGAAATAAGGGATGTCCTAATACATAATCCATCATATACTGTTAATGAATTTTTGCTCTTCTGTCGGGATCAACAGCCAAGGAATAGAAGGGGAGTGCATGCTGACAGATGGATGTCCCACAGTAGGCATCAGTATAGACATTAAGTGTAAATATAATCTGTATTTTATGTATTTATTTAGATGCACGTTGTTTGCATCTATGTTTGTTTGTTATTGTGATATGGCATGTTGAATTGTAAAGGTGTATTGTTGTTAGTAAAGCTTGTGACATGTTTCATATTCAGTGCAGATTGCACTTGTGAATATCTTGAAACGCAGATGTATGTATGTATCAGGTTCTTCTCAAACATTGGTACTGAGGTACATGGCATCACATGATGTTAGTGTTCGGTAGAACCTCTGTTACAGCACTCGGCATGATAATATTCCTGGGCTTAATCAGCATTTGAAGATATTTTTTGTCACTGAATTTGTGTAGGAATTCATTTGCATCCCAGCAGTGCAGTGGTATAACTGGTACAGTGTTGTGTGTTTGTGTTCATGTGTCTACTTTTATTCTGATTTTGGGTGCTGCAGGTGGTTATGTAATAAGATAATGCTGCCAACATGTCTCAGGCATATAATGGGCGTGTTGCTAAAGCTGATCTTCACACACTGGCTGCTTTCTCAGAGGAAAGAACACCCAGTACATAGGATGGCTGGAGCTTGTAGCCACAGTACACTGGTGAAGAGAAATATACATCCATGTCTGTCAGAATCTTTGATAGCCCATAGCCAATCATTTTACAGATGTGAGCACAGATGCTGTGTGGGTGAGTTATCCTGAAGTAGAATTTGAAGGTAATTTTCAAGCTCTTGATGAAATGTTATCGTATATCTGTCCAGGGAATCATATAATCAACCTGCGTCGTACCTGGGAGAAAGTGCTGCTTGCTGCCCGTGCGATTGTTGCCATTGAACATCCGTCTGAGGTGTTTGTGATATCCTCACGTAGTTATGGTCAGCGAGCAGTTCTAAAATTTGCTGCCCACACTGGAGCTACTCCAATTGCTGGACGGTTCACACCTGGCGCATTCACCAACCAGATTCAAGCAGCTTTCCGTGAACCCCGTCTTCTGATTGTGACAGATCCAGCCCAGGATCATCAGCCAATCACTGAGGCTTCATATGTTAATATTCCTGTTATTGCATTTTGCAATACTGATTCTCCTCTGCGTTTTGTGGACATTGCAATCCCATGCAACACCAAAGTAAGTTGCATTCACGATACATTAGAAGATTATGAACAGCAACTAGTTGGCTGGAACGGTGCTGAAGTTTTGCATGAGCGCATATGTTTTTAGAACATAGAACAGACACTTGTGTTTCCAGTGTTTGTGACATGGGAAATGTGCATGAATATAAAATGAAGTAACTTGAATTAACTGACACCACAAGAAAAAGTTATCACTGACAATAGGTATATTGCACGTGGGGGGGTCCTTTCCTCTGTATGGTTCAAAAGCGCTGATTGTCTGTAACTCTGGCAGGGTACGGTAGTAATATCTTGCTTGGCAGGTGGAAAGGGAAGTTGTTATTAATTCTAGCATACATGATAAAATGTATGATCTTTTAATGTCATAAGTTAGTGCTCAGAACAAATAATATTCTGTTGGGTAAAGCTTGAATATTTGAAACACTGATTTTAATGAACATTTCCAAATGGCAGCACATGGTACGTAGTCATGGGACCTGTTGTGAATTGCTATCTATACTGAACCATGAGGCGTCGTTTGTTTACATTTCTTTGTATGAAACTGTACATTGAGGGATGTGGATGGTGTTTTTTAAAAGGAATTTAAGGGGTATAAAGCCAGAAGGGGGGAATAGGAAACTAGAAGTCAGGGAGAATTTAATGCTTAAATACCGTGTAAGGTAGAGTAATGGATAGCAGAATAAGATCATATGGACACATTTTAGAAGGGAATAAAGAAAGAATCCCAAAGAAGGCTTTGTAAATGTAATTAAAGGAAATCACTCAAAAGGAAGTCTGCTAAATGCCATATCTCGCCGGGCAACGCTGTCATGCGTCTTGAGCTGCTTTTCATGTAAAATAATACTTTTGCTATAAAATGAAAGAGAAAATTTCTTAACAATCCAGTTCCTTCCGTCAAATGTGACTTTTTTAAGTTTTCCACCTCGTCACCACCTGCCTTACATGTTTCGGCTCACCACGGACCCATCATCAGAGGCATTTATCATAGAAAAAGAAATCACCAACACACAAAACTTCACTTTGTCCAAGATAGCCACGTTCCAGTTGATTAAAATAATTACAAATAGTTAGAATTACCCAGAATGTCGGTTCACTAAAAGTTTTTCACACACCACAGTAGCTTCCTTATTTGATTCGTCGTTAATTCTGTAAAATTATGTTTCGTTATTTGAAGTAAGAATTCTTAAAATCCCTAGAATTCTTTCCCGCTTGGCCCAATCTTTTTGCTTCGGGATGTTGTTGACGTGTGTTGTCT